ATTGTATATACTGCACATCTACTTATTAATCCCCTCCGTGCGGCATTGCACAATTTAGGACTATCCATTAGTCAAAGCAAATGAAAACAAATGTTCCAGAATAGCAGGGGCCAAAAGCGATGGACAGACAGAGGAGGAGAGAGAAAAAAAAAAGAAACAGAAAGGAGGAAAGAGAGAGGGGGGGGGGGGGTTAGAGGATGAGGAGTAGAGACAGAAAAAAGAAAAAGAGAGAGGGAGAAAAAGTAAGAGAAAGACAGGAGAGATAGAAAGAGCAGGAAGAGAAAGACAGGAGAGATAGAAAGAGGAGGAAGAGAAAGACAGGAGATATAGAAAGAGGAGGAAGAGAAAGACAGGAGAGATAGAAAGAGGAGGAAGAGAAAGACAGGAGAGATAGAAAGAGGAGGAAGAGAAAGACAGGAGAGATAGAAAGAGGAGGAAGAGAAAGACAGGAGAGATAGAAAGAGGAGGAAGAGAAAGACAGGAGAGATAGAAAGAGGAGGAAGAGAAAGAAAGAAAGAGAAAATGACTAGAAAACAAAGAGAATCAGGACTTGAGAGGTTCGAATCCTCTTTTGCAAAAACCCCGGCCATAAACACTGCTGTTATGCGTAATGCTCAAGAGCTTTGGCTGCCCAGACCTGTCGAGACGGAGATCAGCAAGCCTGGGCAGTAGAAAAGAATATGATACAGGGTTTCCTTTTGGTGTGCTTTCAGACTATGTGTTTTTTTAATTGGACTTGTCCCAAGCACTCTGCAGGCTCTAAACTTCTGCCCCACTTCACTTATCTTATCTTATAAAATACAGAAGTTACTTCAAAAAAAGATGATTACGTCCTACGCGTTTTCCTCTCGTGGATTAAACCCTGCGCATACGAAAGTCAAGGGACAAATGAGATAAGAAAGAGGAGGTTGAAAATCATACATTGTACGGTCCGAATCATTGCCTGTACCTGTGCTTCTTAGCGTGCTCTCTTTGTGCGAATGTGGTATAGACGTGTATGTCTAGACCTACTTTGAAACCCAGCTATACTGTATGAATGTTTACAAATGTACTCCGTAAATTGAATTTAAGCCTCTTAAAAACTTCCTGTATTACAACTTTAAAAAAATGGAACAAAAATAGAAGAAAAAAATTACTCTCTTTTTTTTCAATTTCCATGGCTATCCATAATTCAAGGGCAATAAATATGAAGAAGTTAAAATAAGGGAAAAAAATGTATTACCTCCCCTGAATTACTCACCAACCTTCCAATGTAGAAATTACTCAGTGTACCCCAACATGTAATGATTAAAATGTGGTATGTGTTTGTAACTTGTTTTCGTATCAAACGTTGTCAGATGTTGTGTGTCCCTTATCTTCTACATTGACTTTTTATAATTTAAGGAAATTATGGAAGATGGAAGTTTATTTTCGCTGTTTGCACAGATGTTTAAACTTTGAAATTGTTTACTTTTGTTTATTTATATTTCCAAAGATCCAAAATCTTATCTTAAAAATTATGTAAAGTAGTTCAGCTGAACACATTTTTTTTCCTCAATAATAAGCTTTATTGAATGTATTCTAATGATGTGTAGTATTTTAGCTTACATCTTACAATTTAGATAATTATCTCATTTTAAGCGTTTGAACTAGCAGCTACCACACTAATAAACTACCTATGTAGGCTACACCAAACAGCCAAATTGTCTCACTGACCGATGCCAAAACAGTCCTTCAAAGCCTGAAAAACTCGGATACTCTATATAAACGCAATTCAGGACAGCACTTGTAAACCTTAACATCAACAGCAAGGAAACTGTTCTTCAATAGATTCCAACACATATTGAATTAGAAGCCAATGAAAAAGCAGACAGACTGGCCAAAGATGAAAGAACAAACAAATGAAAATCTCTCTCTACCCAGAAGAAATGATGAAAATAATAGAGAGTAGAATAAATGAGAATTGGACCAGCTCACATCCCAAGTACAAGAAAAAGGACGCCTATCATAAGCTATCTCGACATGACCAACGCATAATTTTTCGACTCAGAACTGGACACAACAGAATGAGACAACATATGTTCCGGAAGCTAAGAGTCGTGTCGAGCAAAACCTGTCCTTGTGGAGCATCACCAATAAATGTTGACCGTTTCCTTCTAAGCTTCATATTATATCAAGAGACCCGAACAAGACACTGGCCCCAAAACACTCCTATAGAAGAAAAACAGTACGGAGAACTGCCTGATCTGGACACCACTGCGCGGTTCATCTCAGATATAGGATTACTGACCTGAACCCTAATTTATGTAAAATGAGAACGAAGAAGAAAAATCTCATTTTTATAGAAAACAAAAATCAAACTGGTAATATATTTTTTTTTTAAATCCTACTTTATGTTCAAATAGTATGATAAACTATGATGTGTCATTGAAAAATATAGACAGAAAAAATTGACAAGTATAGGAATCGAACCCTCGACATTTTTGCTTCAAATAAATGTTTCAATTGTATTTATTTGTTCATTTGTTTTGAGTTTTAGACCTGTTATCTCAATGCAGGGTCGTCCTTAGGCCGATTTCTTCTAAATTGGGCCCCACGGCTGGTAGGGGCCCAGGAATTTACACTAAGCATATTATTATCAGTCATGGCTCTATTCAAGGGCTTTTAAAACTGTAGGACTTAAAGGATTAACATGTTTGGTGTATCATACGATTGACGGCGCTTGTTGCGTTTGAATTGCATCTTATGCATGTTGTATAATACATGTTGATATAATAATCTGATTAATAGTAATAGTTGTTATTGTAAACAAAAAAAATGAGAAGCGGGGCCTCGCAAGCAATTTGTAAAGCCGGCCCTGTCTTCTGCACTCATCCTTAATCTTTGGAATCGGAAGATATTTTTCTCCTATGAAAATAGCATGCATGTAAAAATAAAGTACAAGATTATTTCACTACTTTAACCCTAAAAGAATGTCTGTACAGTTTCCAAATAATTAATCTTTGTGAAAAAGTAGGCCTATTACTGCTTGCTAAAACTGTAGCTAAAATATTTCAGCTTGTAACTCGAGTAATCCTTTTGCAAATAGGGAGATGACAAGTAGATGTAGCATACCAAACCCCTTGCATTTTGGATAAGACTAATCAGTCTTCACAATAACAGAAAGGGGACTAACCGTTTACTTCAGAAACATGTCTAGGAATAGAGTTTTCATGTGTATTTAAATAGATCTGTATGCTTCCATCGCTATCGTAGCCCATAACTAATTGCGGAAGCATATGGAGGTCTATTTAAAGCACGCGTCTACAACCACATTAAGACGTTCGACTTTGTCGACACGAAGTCAACTGTTTTAGCCACGAAGTCAACTGTTTAAGCCACGTAAAGGGGATGGAAACCAATCATTTTGATACTTAGGACATTTAAAGTTTTTATCCTGGCCTGAGCCTTTGACATGATGAAGCCAGATCTACGTCAAAATTTTTATCTAGTTTTTTTTTTCGTGTTTTTTAAATAATTGTGCCAATGTCATATAACCTTCACCTTCAGTTACCCTTTGTCTGTCGGCACCACACAAGATCTGTTGACCGTCTATCTCCATTCCTCCTGAATATAATCTCTTTCAATTGCAGGTCCGTCCATTCCTTTAACTTGTTTTCCCATCGCTTTCTCTTCTGTTTATCCCTGGTACTGTTCCCTGAAGGAAGGTCTTTGCGAGCTCTGAGGACCTTGTAATGTGGCCATATGCCATACAGTTTTTTGCTGGCGTTTTTTATTTGAGTTACCAGGTCATCGTAGTGTCCAATCGCTTTACTAATCCTGTCTCTAATCTCTTCGCTTGAGATGCGGTCTTTGCATATGATACCTAGGTTAATAAAATAGGGCTAGTAATAACAGGACTAGAAGTAAAATACTTCAAAAGTGTACCAATTTTGACAACAATTTTGAATTAATAATAATAATCTAACGGCAATGTCTTCGATTCCGAAGAATAAGGATGAAGTGCAGAGTATCACGTGACTGTGCAAACTCAGTTGCAACCTGCATATTTTCCCGCCTCCGATGCAGGCAAAGCCGTTGTCCGCTGGTGGGGGTCTATTAAAGTTTTCTTTTCGTTTTGTGAAATAATAATAATAATATGTTTTGTAAATGTTTTTTTTATGCTTTCACTTATTGATTTGCAGCAAAGAAATCCGTTTAGTTCCAAACGTTTTGATTTTCGAAAAGGTCTTTGATCTTTTTTCTTTTTCCGAAGCACAGGTCAAAAGTCAAGGGTCTCGTTCTAAAAAAAAAAAGTTTTTCCTCCATTTTCCTGGCTAATGTTGATAAACTTACCAGAAAAAAAGATACCGATACAGCTTTATGAAGTAACTTTAGTTTAACCAGTTCTGGGGGGTGACCTAAAAGCTTTAGGTTAACATAGGGGAAGCCGGGAAGGAAAAAAGGTTAAAATACTCCCTACGTCTCCGTGTTACATCAGCTACACGCCAGTGGTTTTTTTCTCCTTGGCTTACGCTACAGCCATCACGACTCTCGAGAGAAGCTTATACACCAGTCTAGAATAGATAGACACACGGAAGAACAATCGCCTGCTTGTCGTCATGTCGCGTGCTCTATTTTTAGCATCATACATGAGTCATACACAACCCACGCAATAGGTTTTATTTTCTTTTTTGATACTAGAACCAAATTTAATGTGTTGTTTTTTTCCTAGAAATTTCTTCTCGCCAACTTAAAACAGTGTCTTTTGTTATTCAGTTTTAATGTTTAAAAGAAGTTAAGTTTCCATTTCAGACCTTGTGGTCTACGGGGGAGATGATGTAAAGGTCATCTTTTTCTGTGGCCCACGGTTATCGAGCATGGTGTCATGTGGCCAGCACAACGACCAACCGCCTTTAGATTTAAAAACTCCTTCATCCCACTTTCGGTCAGTGTTACAAGATCATCTGTCGTCATCGAGAAATACATTTACATAATCCATAATTGCATTTACATAATCCAAGGAAAAAAAAAAATGAGTGTCTTGATTTGATTAAGATATTTATTAGCAGACATCAGACTGAATGTCTTGACATTGGAATATAAAATATCATTGACACAGACACAAAAATAATTATAACAATAATAATAAAAAATCATATTACAAACCAATAATAAATAAATAAGTTAAAAAAAACATATGGCCATCTGGTTAGGGTCACTGTTGCCAACTTTAAATATAAGGAGCACAAACACAGCTTTCTCTCTTGAAACATAACATCTGATTATCAGTTCATGAAGATTACACACGGTCATTGCAGGATGATTGCTGCAGATCTTGCTTTCAAATGTAAGGAGCTTCTTGAAACAGCTAGATCAACCATTGCTTAGACAGCATTAGATATTCTAGAGTAACAGTGGGACAGGGTTGACACAATAGCTACCATAAAGGAAACACAAAAACAATAGACAAACAACAAACAACTTTAGTGTTTGGATGAGAAAGTACCAAAAAAAAAAAAAAAAAACACTATTGGACAACAGACAATGGTTTAAGTACAGTACACATGTTTTGCTTCATGTTAGATTTTGAAACCTCAACAAAAAAAAAAAAAAAAAAAGTAACCAATTTATAAATTCTAAGAAGATTATTTTCTGAATGTATATACCGTATATATTCCAACCCAAAAATTAATCACACTACAAAACCTTCAACAAACAATGTTAATCAGTGAAAATGTCTACTATTGTTTTTCAGGTTCTAGCAAGATCCAATAGCCTAATCAAAATTTTGATCACCAATTTCAAAAGTTTCTATGTATTCCAAAACAAGGAGATGGTGAGGTTCCAAAACAAAATTGTATCACAGACATAAAAATGTTGATGTTAAAAAAAAACAAAGGACATGATTAAAAGATAAAAAAAAAAAAAAAAAAAATTAACAAAAGCAGTATTTTAGTCAGGTTTATCTCCTCATGTCATGTACAGACTTCTTAAAACAATAAATCAAAGACAATTTAAAAAAAAGAGGAAGTGAAAAAGTTAAAGTGATATCATGTGCACATGTACAAACAAAAAGAAAAGAGAAAGGAAGAAAAGAAAGATTGGTAAATTATCCAGGTTTTATTGCCATAACAATGATATATAAAATTCTCACATCGCCTGGGAGAAAAAAAAATGTGAACGTTTAAACCTGTATAGATTTCAATTGTTAAAGTGATTGCAACTTCTGAAACAATAGGACAAGTATGTATACAAGTATTCAAACATACCAAAAGAAAGCATATTAAAAAAAAAAAAAAAAACATCACAGAAATGTTAACAAAATGTAGTAGTATAAAAAAAAGAACTAATATTAACAACATTATTGAATTAATATTGATAGAAACATCCCCAGAAGAGAAATGTATCATTAGTATAGCTTACAATACATAATATAAACAAACACAAGACAATATAGTTATGAAAGAAAAAAAAAATTGTTACAGTACAGTTAAGTCTAAATAGTTGTGTTGTGCACTAAGCTGGTTCAACGCCTTTTGACCAATTCTTATCTCAAACAGTGGGAGCATCATTTGTGCCAATCATAGGCTTCTGTACACTCACCGAGACTCGTGGTGCTTATTTACAAATTTATCAATACCTGACTAATATCAATCGATCGGGGGGAAAAAAATAGACTGTGACATTATTTCCAGTTCATTCATCTAATATCATTTATGACATTGTCAGCTTCACAGTCACCTCATCATGAGATTTACCATTACAGCATTAGAAGACATGCTCTTGCCATCACAAGTTGCAACATTATATACCACTGCTCTGCTACTCCAGACAAACCAAATGAGTCAGGTAGTCTTTTGGTCTATTTGCAAATCAATTCCAAACAGATACTCTATGGCAGGTTACATGGTAGATATTATCACACACATGACTTAGTTGTCAATATAAATATATATAAATATATCAGCAACTTGACAGTTGCTATGGCACTTTACTGCAATAAATACATATTATCTCTTTGCTTAATGACTCCTCAAGCTGCGATGAAACATTTTTCTGTGTAACAATGTTGTTGTTTTTTGCTACGACAAATGTCATTAAGAAATAGTTGATTGCTTAAAATAACTTCCATTATAGCAATGCTATAAAATGGAAATCTGTTTTGAATCAAACAAAATCAATACAAGTTCATTTCTCAAGCACTAAGGCCAATCTCAGCCAAAAGACAAGGTTATCCATAAATGCATATAAGCAGAATGTAACGTGCTTTGGCACTGTCCCACATGCTAAGCCTTGAGGATTAAACTTTCAATACACTAGTCATCTGTTTAATCCACATGTCTATATATATATTGGTCTAGCAATCCAGGCATTAAGCCAGAAGCAAAATAAAAACAAACATGTTACGCCTAAACAAGGCCTTGCACCATTAGGAAAAAAACAAGTCAACTGTTCACAAATGTATCTGGCGAATTCAGGCTCACGTTCTGCGTTGACATCTTGTGTGAACACAACATGTGCTGTGTAGGCAGTGAAGGTTTGTTCATTTATAGTGCAAACAAGTGCAACACATGTAGCATGGTCAATCCATTACATGGTGGACTTAAGAAAGAACAAATTGTCAACTACAATTTCGTAACATTTTTAGAAAAAAGAAAACACCACAATACCACAATCAAAAAATTTTTTTTGTTTCTTTTTTTTTTATTTCTAATTGATGCCTTGAAAATTTTTTTTTGGTTGTTTTTTTTATTTTATTTTATTTTTTTTTACATTTTCATTTATTGTAAATAAGATGAAACAAAGTATATAAAAAAAATTTAACTCAAATCCTACTTTTTTTTTGTCAGCAATGAGATTTTTGATATTTCAAGACATTACAAAATGATCTTATCGTTAAATTTTTTTTTTGCTTCTCTCCTATGTTCAAGAAAAATCTTTTACCTTTTTCTTTTTTTAACTTTGAAAGTCTGTATACTTTTTCAGACTCACTTATTTCCAAGGAAAAAGAGAAGCACAAAAAAAATAAAAAAAAGAAATAGAAAAAATATTTTAAAAACCTAAAGTAAGATGCCTTTAGATTTAAAAAGTTTCTAAATATTACTAATTAAAATGGGATATAAAACCATACATATTATATTGGGTCAACCAACATCAATTACACAGGTGTAAAACAACTGACTTTCGTAGACACTTACAAACTTTTCAAGCCTAATATTTCCCAAACAACAATAACACAAGGTGAAGTTACAATGTAAGGTTACTTACTAGCTGCTCATAATGATGTAACAACCTTAACAAGATGAAACATACCATCACTAAACACAAGTCTTTGGATAATTTTACTTCAACACATATCCCTGACAGTTATCTAGATGAGTCAAAAAAAGGGAAAAAAAACAAAAACTCTCTTGAGTAAAAAATTTTTTTCTCTATCTTCTAAAAGAAAAGCTTAAATCTACAATGTATTCATTTGTGAAGATTCCATAAATACTGAAAATTAATTAGGTAAGGATGCATCTAGAGACACATCTTCCATGGGGTAGTCATAGTCAGGCACTGTTTGGTCAATGCCTTTTTGCACTATAACAGGTCGATTAGGAGGCTCCACCATTATAGGTCTAGTGAACCAAGGGTGGTCCAATGCCTCGGCAGCACTGAGGCGTTCACTTGGTTCACGTCGAAGCAGGTTGCGCACTAGGCACTTAGCACGTGCTGGAACGGAGTCAGGAATCTTGTAAGTTCCCCTGCGAATTTTGCTAAACAAAGCAATGGGTTCCCGGTCATGGAAGGGGTACCTGCCAACAAGCATTGTGTATATCATGACGCCCAGGCTCCAAAGGTCGGCACACTTGCCTGAGTAGCCGTGGCGAGTGGACAGGATCTCAGGACTAACATAGGCAGGGCACCCATGTTTGTCAGTCAAGGTGTCAGAAGCAGTTTCATTGTCAAGTACAATGGCATCATCAAGGCCATCAAGAGCAAGCACTGTCCTGCAATAGTTTAAAATATAAAATATTTGAGAAGAATTACACAAAGTTAGCTCATAACATACATTTCAATTATGCACATCTTTACATTTTCCAACAGATAGATAAGTAAATGAATGAATACAAAGAAAGACATCTAGGCTGATATTAGTTCCTTTTAAAAACATATGCTTCGTTCAGCAATAAAAATGTGTTTTTTAAATAGATTAAATATTATATTTGCACTTCTAAAAACTACTAAAAAGTCAACCAGGTAAACAGCAAAATTATTTTGAGCGTTGCTTATTCTTAAGTTTGCGTGATTTCATTATTTTGTGTAAGAGTGTTTTTTTTGTCAGTATTTATTTTTCTTTAAATAATAACTTCCCTAAGCTAAACATACTTTTCAAAAAATGTTAAATAAATAGTCTTGTTCTTTTTATTAAATTTCCAATGTCGTAATCACACATAAATAAAGTATGTAAACATTAAACAGTATTGAATTGTAGTCCTTATAAACCAAAATGACAGTATTTTATACTCAGACCTATTTTACTTCACAAGAAAGTGGCCAACTGGGAGATGGACAACCAACAGAAAAAAACTTATAAAATTATTTAAATGTGACACCATTTTTGAATTGGGACAAATAGAGCAAAGCAGAAACAAACAAAATTATAAATATAATAATTAAAATTAATTATAATTTCAAGTATGCATATAGTTAACACTTATCAAGCACATATTTGCCTGAGGCAGTATCAAGGAAGCCCAGTTTCAAGACCCAAATGCCTAAATTGTTGGGCTGCCACTATACATTAAGGTACCACTTTCAGGCATTGCGTCTATAGGGGCAGATGATGTACAATAGCTCATCTGTTTCTATGTCAGATTTTTAACAAGGATATCTTGTGGCTAGAAAAATGACCAACAGCTTTGACTTCCCCAACATTTGTCAGGTATCCATTGAAATTGGGTGGATCAGGTGTGTCCAAAAAAATACTTGAGTTAAAAAAGTGCTTAACACCTAAAACCACATCCCTACCAATATATACATAATTACTCATAGAAAGTGATGTGCAGACAAATAATTCCTCCAAGTCTAGTACAGATAAGATAAAAACTTACATTAGATTATATAAAATGAAATAGATTTTTTCAATTGAACACAGTAAAATTACCTTTCTGCATCTTTAAAAACAAACTTTCTCAGCTTAAGGTCTCGCAAAATGACCCCATTCTCATGACAATGGTTGACCGCAGCTACAACTTGCCGAGCAAGATCTCGAGCTTCTGCCTGCTTAAGCTTCTTTTTCTCACGTACATATGAGTGAAGGTCACCAAAGCCTCGTTCAAAGAAAACATACGCTGAAGTTTCTCCAAGGATAATTTCACATATATTGACAATGTTTTCATGGCCATCTGTGGCAAAATATGGAGCTAGTTTCTCTCTGTAGACTCCTAGAGGCAACACCTGTGGAGATAAAATGATTTATAAATATTCTCTTGTTACACTACTAGAAGAAACGACCGATCAAGCCTGACAATTGTTTGCTGTGCATGGAATAAGTTTATCCAATATCAATTAAATAAAAAGTAAATGTGACAGGAACATCTATTGAAATAGATGATATTCAGTTGAAAAAAAAAATATTAAAAAACGCTTCGGTCTCTGAATTGTCTTGCCCTTGTTTTTTCTTATATATATATATATATATATATATATACACACACTTGTATAAGTAGATCTAAAAGCATTGGATAACCAACTCGAGAAAAAAAGTAACATTTTCATCTAAGCCTTTCCCTGTCCCAAGAAGTAAATAGATCGGGTGTCTGACTGATTCGAACAAACTGGTCAATGTAAGGCTTGTCGAGACTTCGTGTAGTCGGTCATGACAAGACAACCAAGCGATAGTGTATGTTGTGTGTTGAGTGGTCTAGCGATAAAATACAGACTGCCGTGG